AAGCCAGACACTCGAAGCCAGGATGTCCTGCCACTGCCCCAGATGCCACCCCGACCTGCTTTCCACAATGCCGTGAACCGTAGGCACGCAGTCTTGTTTCTGGCTTCCATTAAGCCTAAGGCTCTTCAGATTCACTCAAGCTGCTCCTGAGTCAGTTTATTCCTTTTTTATATCACTGTAGTATTCTGTTGGACAGATAGATCACAACTCACTCACTCATTAGTTTGTGGGACATGTGAGTTGATTCCAAGGTTTTGCTCCGAGGAAAAAAGCTGTCACCAGCTTTTCTTGCCCCAAGTAAGGGCTGAAGAAGATACTTGACTCTGAAGAGGATGGTGAACGTTCTCACTAGTGAAGGATCAGGTGAGGCCTGATGTGTTCTTGCGCTGTGTGGCACCTTGGAAATGTGTTTGAATGTTTTTCCTTGTAATAGTTTATGTAACCTCAGAATTCAAGTTAATGAGTCATAGATTTATTGATGTTTGAGTGTCTTATTGTTTTATATAACAAATTTGGAAAATTTCCACCTTATTTAGTGGTGTTGAGATAACAGTAGTGGGAATGTGAAAACAGCCTGCAGCAAAACGGTTGGGATCAAAGAGAAAAAAGTCAGAGATGGAAATTCTCCCATCCCAGTCACTTCCAGGCTGCTTTTGTGTGTGTGTGTGTGTCTGTCTGTGTTTTGACAGGCAGAGTGGACAGTGAGAGAGAGACAGAGAGAAAGGTCTTCCTTTGCCGTTGGTTCACCCTCCAATGGCCGTATGGCCAGTGCACCGCGCTGATCCAAAGCCAGGAGCCAGGTGCCTCTCCTGGTCTCCCATGCGGGTGCAGGGCCCAAGCACTTTGGGCCATCCTCCACTGCACTCCCGGGCCACAGCAGAGAGCTGGACTGGAAGAGGGGCAACGGAGACAGAACCCAGTGCCCCGACCGGGACTAGAACCCGGTGTGCCGGCGCCGCCAGCGGAGAATTAGCCTAGTGAGCCGCGGCGCCGGCTACTTCCAGGCTGCTTTGTAAGACTGAGATAGCCTCCTGACTAGGATTAGCTTGCTCAAGAATGTTGGAGACATTAATATCACAACAAATCACGCTTCTAGAAGGAGGGGCTGCTTGCAGGAGTCGAACTGCTCTGCCAGGCGTTAAGGGGCTGTCTCACTTTATAAGAGACCAGCCAGCCGTTTTCCAGAGTATCGCGTTGCATCCCCACCAGCAGTGAGAGTTCCAGTTAGCGCACATTCGCACTGCCGTTTGGCATTTTCTGTCTTTTCACTTTGGGACAGGTTAGCGTGTAAGCGGGAGCTCACTCTAGTTTTAGTTTCACTTCTCTAACAACAAGGAAAGATAAGGGCCCTAGGCTTTCTAAGATCATTCTCCTGATTAAATTTTTAGCTTTATTAGCTTTATTCTCCTATGAATAGAATCAAAATATATTTTACCATAGTTTCGCAATAGCAACATGCTATTTTAATACAATTTTAAAACTACTGTATGCTGTTACTGTTACTTTAAGGAAGAAATGTTTTTGGTTTTTGTGTTTGAGAGGCAGAGATAGGCAGAGAGCCCACGCTCATGCTGATCCACGTCCCAAAGGCCCACAGCAGCCAGGGTGGCCCAGGGCCAGAAGCAGATTCAACCCAGCTCCCCGCTGTGGGTGGCAGGAGGCTGCAGCAGGAACTGAACCCAGGCAGCCCAGTGCGGGGCGCGGGCACCTGCACTGCTAGGCTACACCTCTGCTCCTGGGCGGCGGTGTCTGAACTGTTTAAGAATCTGCTTGAACTCTGTACCACTCACACACCGGGGCACTTTGTTAGGTATTTTGTGCCTCCCCCCCGCCCCCATTTAATCCCCATTACAACCCGCCAGGTAAACTTTGATATCCTTAGTTTACTGCTTGAAACCTGAAAAGAATAAACATCTTTTCAAACTTTGGCTAGCTTTCCTTCCCTGGTGCAGTCTCTCACAGCCCTGCATAATTAAGATACAAATGGGTTATGCAAACAACTATTCCTCCACCCAGGGCCAGCCTGAGACTGCGTGCAGGGGCGGGCCCTGTGTTGGGCGGGTTAAGCTGCTGCCTGCAATGCTGGTATCCCGTATCAGAGTGCTGGTCGAGTCCCAGCTACCTCACTTCCCATCCAGCTTCCTGATGATGTGCCAGGGAAGGCAGCAGAATACGGCCCAAGTATTTGGGTCGCTGACAACTACGTGGGAACCAGGTTGGTGTTTCTGGCTCCTGGCTTTAGCCTGGCCTACCCCCAGCTACGCAGACATTTGGGGAATGAGTCAGTGATGGGAGATCTGTTACCTTGCCTTTCAAATAAATCTTGGAGAAACTACTTGCAGCTTTCGTTGATCCACAGCTGGTGAAGGGGCCAAGTCCAAGGCGGCTGCACAGATCCCAGGTAGGGGTGCGTGTGCAGATCCCGCTCTGGGGAGCCTCGCGGGCCCAGAGTCAGAACCTCAAGTGGCAGGAAATGCAGCTCGCAGCCCCACAGCCCTGCTAACCCGAAGCAGTTGGGATTTAAACAGTAGCTAGCAGTAAGCAGGAAAGATCCCCAGCTGCCTCTGGTGACGTCGTCACGGGTGATAACCGACCTGAGTGGAGGGGCGAGTTCCTGGCATCCACACCCCCAACGCCACCGTCAGATCCTCTGAGGTCAGCTGCCCGAGGGGCCAGGATAGCGGACCATCACCCTTGGCGAGGCAGCCTGACACCACGTCCCTCAATGTTTCCAGGTGCACACCCTTGTCCTTTGGCCCCTGCTGGTCAAGGCCTCCAGCTTCTGCATCTGCCGCTGGGCACGCTCAGGGCTTCCTGGCTCTCCCTCTCCTACCCAAGCTCAGCCTGGGACAGCCTGGGACTCGTCTCATTTGATTCGCATACTGCGACTGCCTCCCGAGCTCCCTCGCCTAGGGAACTTGCACTGAGGTACCTCCCCTAGAGCACTCACGGCAGGCTGGAAACTGCTGGTGTTTCTGCGTGCACTGGGGTGAGGCGGGGGGACACGTCTAAGTGTGTTCTGGACGCACCACTTCTAAAACATCTCAAGCACTGCTCCGCATCCCCCCTTGGAAGGGGCTCACCATTCCAGCTCGCCTCTCCCTATCTAAGGGCACCTGGACAAAAGGAGTGACCACGCGCAAGTACCCACTGCATCCTAAGTGCTTCTGCTACGCTTGGCTTCTGTCTTCATCATCCCCGCCAGGTATGTATTGTATTCATATTATGAAGAAACAGACTTACGAGTTAGTTGGCAGGTCCAAGGTCAGAGCCAGTGGTACAGTTCACTGGAAGGCCCAGGCTCTTTTCCTAACACAAGGCCACTTCTTCATTAATATTCATTCTAGGGAAACGTAGTTTTTGATCAATCCCAAGTGGATTTGAAGCACCCGGGAACAGTAACCTCCAGTCCGCAGCCACCCCCTCCCCCTACTCCATCGCAACACCAACACCCTGGACAGCACTCCTGGTCTCTGGAGCACTCACTGCCCTGCCTGCAAACGGGCACTGGGTGAGTTACCAAGTTAGGATGGCAACGGATAGATTGTGGCAAGTGTTGACTCTACTAGACTCCCGCAATTTTTTAAAAAGAATTATTTATTTATTTGAAAGACAGAGTGACAGGAGAAGACAGAGAGAGACGTTTGCAACACTGATTCACTCCCCAAAAGGTCACAATGGCCGGGGCTGGGCCAGACACTCCACGCTGGTCTCCCACGTGGGTATTTGGGAATTTCTTCCAGGTATCTGGGCCATCTTCGGCTGCCGTCCCAGGTGTACCTGCAGGGAGCTGGCTGGGAAGCGGAGCAGCTGAGACATGACCCAGCACTCCGACGTGGGATGCCTGCACCACACACAGAAGCAGTGGCTTAACTCGCTGTGCCACAACACCGGCCCCTGGACTTCAATTTACACTTCCCAGAAAAACCCTCCAGACTCCTCAGCAATTCCTCATTTAGCTGAATGTTCGATCAGCCAGAGCAGATTTGCTCTCCACGGGAAAGGGAAACATGACACAAAAGCCAACGCCCTTCCTCCAGCCAGCAGACTACCACACCTAGCAGACGAAGATGGGAGAAACAAACACACATGTGGGAACGTGTTTTAAACTGCAAAAAACATTCTACTTGCATCACTCACGGAGTCTCCCAAGTCCTTCCTTCCCTCCCTCCCCCGGCACCCCGGTCCCCGCCTGTGGGACTGCTCCCCATCCAGGTCAGACTGCCGAGCTGTGCAGGGTTTCTGAGGTTGGTTTCCAGGGAGTGAGGCAGCACCGGGCTAAGAGGCAGCGAGCTCCCCCACGGGAAGGCTGCCGACCCTCCTCTGCCACACGTACAATGCTTGATCCAGGAGGGACAGGAGAGAGTTCCCTTCAACGATGTCAGCAAAGATCTGACGGGACTGGCAAGGACCTCTGCCACCGTGGCCCGCCTTTGAAGTCCTCAGGACTGGACGGCACGTGCTGCCCTGGACTTTGTCACCCTCACACTTTCTTCACCAATGTCAACCTGACCTTAGGACTGGCTGGCACACTCCCCTAGACTGTATCCTTGAACGCTGATCAGGACTCTCAGTGACCTTTCCAGGTCTCCACCCAACTCACCACCTGACATCAGGAGCCCGCCGGGGTGGGGGTGGGGGGTTCATCTCCATCTTTTCCAAGTTCAGAGAAATGGGGTAACTGGAGGCCGTGATGGCAGCAGCCCAGCCTGGGTGTCTGATGCACAAAGGGGAAACCAGCCCATGGGAGATGTGGGACCAATTTCTAGTTAGCTCCCAGTGTGCGCTGCGGCTACAGTACTAAGTAAACCGATTGTAGGGACTGACTCCAGAGGAGGCCAGCAGCCATAGGAGGTACTGGGCTAGGGACAAGCAGGTCCAAGTGGAAACCACCTTTCTGCCCCACTCTAAGCCTTGTGCCTCCCCCCAGGTGAGAGAACTTCCGGCTCAGGCACTTGAGTCCTTTGAGATTTCTGTATGTACAGTTCACTCCGTCAGCATTTATTGAGCACTCACTGTTTACTTAGGCTTGGGGAGGGAGGTAGATTCCTTTCAGTTCAAGAGTTTAGCAGGCGTCTGGAAGGCCAGCCTACAACAGTGATGGCCCCTGAAACGCACCCGCCGAGCTGCCAGCCCAGGTGTGGGGAAGCCTCAGCCCCTCCCACCCTCCCCCAGCACTGTGTCCTTTGATGCAGGGGCACAGTTAATGGCAACTGCGATTATCCGGGCTTCTTCACTGGGGCCGGGGAAATTCACAAAGCTCACAGAAAGCCAGGAGCTGAAGAGGTAACAGCTGTGAGGGAAGTCTAGCAGGCTGAACAGGTAGTGAGACGGGGCCAGAACACAAAGCCCTAGCGCCACGGGCTGGGTGGGTGCCTGAAAGAGCCGACACTGGAGTGACAGGAAATGGGCTCAGCATGTTCTGGACTCTTCTGCCCCCTACTGAGGAAGTCGGGATCCTGCTGGAAGCGCACAGCGTGCAGGGGTGTGGAGAGGAGGCCTGAGGAAATGAGGCCCCTCGGAGGAAACCCCTTGATTGAAGAACAAAGGACTTCCGGCGGTCTCTCCTCTTGGGCTCCACTCAACCACTGCACCGAGGCCAGAAACAAAGCACACATGGCTCTGGAGGTAGGAACCAAACCCTGCTTTATAAGGCTGCACGGCCATCACTGGCTTCTCAGCTGAGACAGGAGGGGCCAGCCCCATCACCACCGTTCCTCCAGACGCCCGTCTCTACAATGCAACCACTTCAATAAAAATACTCTGATAAGGGGCAACGTGGAGGGGTGGTGGCTCAGGCAGATCGGCAGGTTGGTTCCCCTGAGGTAGCTGACACTGGTGTTCCGTGCACAGGTCAGGTGTGGGCTCGCAGCAGCTGGTGGCCTGGGAAGTAGGCGATCAAAGTGTCAAGGTCCACCCACTGTAGCTGGTCACAGGTAGCGCCTGGGCGGGGAGGCTGGGCTCTTTGCTGGTGTCCTCGCTGTGCTTCGAGGAACTGGGCTTCCCGGGCTAGGGCCAGTCTGGCCGTTCCTGGGTTTGGGTGTGGCCCCGTCTTCAGAGGATGCTGGGCTTCCCTCAGAGGAGCTGTGTTTGCTGAAGGGAACAGGTGGGGAAAGAAACAGCTGAGACACTGCATAGCTGAAATTATCTTTAAAAATGATCTTGACCTTTATTGTTCAGCCTTTTAAACTTCCTGCTTTTATTTTTATTTATTTTCATTTTATTCAAAAGGCAGAGACATAGACCCTCCCTCCACTGGTTCACTCTCCAAATGCCTGCAACAGCCGGTGCTGGGACAGGCTGAAGCCGGGGGCCCACATGATGGGCGTCTCCCACGTGAGTGGCAGGGGCCCATGTTCCAGGAACCGCCTTCTGCTGTCTTCCCAGGACACGGACCAGCTGGAAGCCGGACTGGAAGCAGAGCCTGCACTCTAGCATGGGATGTGAGTATCCCAAGTGGTGTTTTCACTGCTGTGCCAAACGCCTGCCCTTTAACGTGCAATCTGCCTTTGGAGTCTGGACAGGGCATTTCCATTATGGTGCGGTAGACCACACTCACACTGCTGGAACACCCATAAAATCTCTTACTTATTTGAAGGCGTTGAGAGCCTAAGTGCGAGCGTATTTGGGTGAATGTAGGTAGGCAAGAGTACCAAGGACTCCCCACAGCAAGTGGCCTACGGTGCTGCTTCAGCAGATGATGCTGGACACTAGCTCAGCCTCACGGGGCGGACCAGGAGCCCCCAGGAAGAGGCCACTACAGCTGCAGATTCCGACACTCTCACCAAACCCCCTGGAGAAGGATGATTTCCTGGTCACAGTCTGGGAAGACAGGAGGGAAAAACACTCCCCAACTCACAGCCAATGGGCCTTTGTCACGCGGTACTCACCCCAGCTTGTCGGTCTCCAACTGGCGTAAGGCATTGAGTGTCCTATCATCCTTTGCAACAGTCAGAAGTGACACTGGGAGAGCCCACTAGGAATAAAGGGAGCAATGAGGCCAACAGGGCTAGGCAGGACCCAGGCAGCAGTGTGTGGGGTCTTGGGACTTTCTTTCCAGCTCCACCCTAAGGGATCACGGAGCTCTCCTCTTCTCTACCCTTGGGCTTGGGCCTGCACGGTAAACACCTTGATTCTCTCCTGAATCAGGTAGGAAGCTGAGGACTACAAAGTACTCTTTAATCCTTGAAAGGAAGGCACCCAGGGACTTGAAAGAGAAGATTCCTAAGACACAGAGGCAGGATCTACAGAACAAGTGAGAGGATCTATACCTACAACCCAACTACAGCGCACTCCTAGGCAAAGAACATCCATCTCCCAACACACACCAAGACCACTCACCACTGGGGCAGAATCAGAGACGACTCCTACGTGGAACCCTTTGTAGCACCAACTCCGAAGCAGATCCACTCCTGGAACAAGATTGGCAGAGGTTGGAAATTCAAAGGGTGGAATCAGCTGGTCTGTTCTTTCCAAAGAGCTCATTTCTAGGCCTGCTGGGATTTAATCTCTCCCTAAACATGGCTTCCTGTGTGCAGGGAGGGCATATCACCTTTCAGCTTGTTGCCATGGTACTTCTGTTCCCACTGGGTGGTGAGAATGTTGAAATATCGTGGCTGCTCAAAAAAGCGGAGATAGCGAGAGGAGATTCGAGAAGGAAAGATTCGTTCAAATTGACCACGGCGAGAAAACTCATCCTCCATCTCAACCAGAACTCGGACATCATCTGGCGTCAGGACATCCAGCACAGATGCGTAGAAGTCCTGTGACCCAAGGAACAAGGAGCATGAGAGTATACGGGACGTGTGCGCCAGAGACAGAGAATCGAGTCACTTAGGGACAGGGAACAGTGCTGGGGGTGCTGGGGTCCCAGGACTCACGGGACTCAAGCCACCTTGTGAACCAGCTCTGTACTTTGTCTTTAAGTCTACTAACTCAGCTAGTGAAGGAAGACACTCTTGGTTGGGGTCAGGGCAGCCAGTAGGGTCCTGAGGTTAAGTGCTTTGTTGGATGGGGTCAAGATCTTGCAGAACTTGGACTTGGCACCGGCCTTATGTCTGCCACTCTTATTTGCGGCTCCCTTGTCTGCTCTGAGAAGGACAAGCCTCCTACAGTCTCACTCTGCCTCTTAAGGAAAGAAACCACAGGGTAATGGCCTGCAGCTCTGACAAGAGAGGGCCAGCACAGCATCTTGCTAAGAGCAGTAGCTCTTGAAAATGTGCTAAGTTCACCAACTTTCTCCCACAACAACACACATCCATCCAATCCGTACGCCACAGTGACCCCAGACCTGGGCTGAGAAACCCTGCTCTAGAAAAAGGAAAAATGGGTTGCTCTGGGCTCCCAAACATTTGAACACAGACCTTCCTGCCGGCATTAGGGGTAAAACCAACCTCCTACCTGATCGGGGATTTTCTGCGTCAGATAATAGGCTTCCTTCATCTTCTGCGCAGTGAGATGCTGTGGGGCCACTCGACACTTGTCTCTGGGAGAGCTGGACAGGCTAAGGCATGGGAGGAGAGACAGCCCGGGTCAGCAGCTTCCCACGCTGAGCAAACATGGAGAGAAGGGCCAGCCCAGGGAGACCCCCCCAACAGGAGGAGACACGCTGATTAGCGGGGTGCCTCGCACTACGCGGGACTGCACCGGAGCAGTCCCCAGACATCCAATGCCATGGCCGCATGGGCAGAGCGCGAGGCAGCCTCTGACAGCCTGACCGCTGTACACTTGGGTCTCACTTAACTCGGTGAAGACTAACTACGCGCCCAGCCTCTAGGATGACGACAACCACTGTTGAGATACAAAAATGACCAAAAGCAACCCTCGCCTCCAAGGTGGCAGGCAGGATAAATCCCAGACCAGAGCAAATGCGCGTCTACGAGGTAGAAAGAGGAAAGACAGTGTGTGCGCAGTCAGATGAGAATGCGACCTCCAGGCCCTGCCACTCTAGCAGAATGGCTCTGGATGCGTTACTGAACCCCGTGACCCTCAACTTCCTCTTCTGTGACCCGTGACACTACAACTAGTCTGACAGGACTGTGGGGAGGGTAAATTTTGGGTTTTTCCTTGCATATCACAGGCACTGGCCAGATTTTAGCTCCCCACCCTTGGGAGTGGCCCCAAGTGCTTCAGGGGCACGCAGGAGAAAGAACACCCTGAGCTGCTGTCAGGAAGACGCAGACTGGAGGTGGGCTTTAACGGACAGTAGAGATTACAACAGGAAGGTCTGGCTAAAGGGCATTTTGGGAGCAGAGGAAAGGAAGCCAGAGGGGAACAGCAAGAGGAAACGAAGGCTTCAGAGAGGAGATCGGACTCACTGACCCTTAAAGATCCTTCCAACCTTGAGGTTCTGTGAGGGATCCATTTTGTCAGAGCAAAGAGAGACGCGCCTGAGAAAAGGAGGCTGGGCCTCGAGTGTCCAGATAAGGAGCTTAAGTCTGACGCCTAGGCCCTGTGGAGATTCCTAAGCAGAGGAGCAATAAGACCAGACGTGCTTTTAGGAGCCCTGCAGCAGCAGTGCTGGGCAGGCAGGCTGTAGGGCAGACTGGGACAGCAGGTAGGAGCGCGCGCAGCACCCCTTCCTTCCCGCAAGCACAGCGGGCCGCTCGTGCTGCTAGCGAGCGCGGAGGCTCACCTGGGGCTGGAGCTGCTGGAGCTGCTGGAACTGGAGAGGACATCCTCCGGGTTGGGCAGGACAAACCCTGCCAAGTTCAGGAGGTCACGGATCATCTGGCCTTTGATGCTGATGTCCAGTGGAGAGCTGGAGTGCAGGCTTCAGGGAGAGGATGCACAGGGGTCAGAGCAGCACTCATGGTCTCTGGCCCTACGTCCAAGTAGAAGTGGTCCCACTACCCCTTAGCTTCCCCAGGTCGAAAGGGGCTCCAACATCCGAATGCACCAGGACCACTGTGAGAGTCTCTGATCCCAAACATAGTGAATTACTTGGTTTGCTAGGAAGGGGAAGTAGGGATCGACTTGAAAAGAACATTTAACAAACTGTCTCAAGTCTCAAAGGACTTTGAGAAAACATCAAAGAACGAGTGAGTGAGCAAGCACACAGACCACGGGGAACAGACGTGGAGCCCAGCAGTTAAGACGCCCATGTCCTACATCAGGTGCCTGAGCGCCATACCCAGCTCCAGCTCCTGCCTCCAGCTTCCCGTCAATGCAGACACTGGGAGGCAGTGCCGACGGCTCAAGTAACTGGGTTCCACGTGGGAGGCCTGGAGTGAGTTCTCAACTGGCCCCAGCCATGATCCAGCCCCGGCCATTCCAGACATTTGGAGAGTGAACCAGTGGATGAGAGCCCTCTCAAATAAATGAAAGTTTGAAGACAACAACAACACGTAGATCTTGAAGGGGTAACACAAATTCTAGTGAAGGAAAGGACTTTCTTTCCACAGTCGACAAGTTTATATTGGCAATGGGATCCTGAGGAGACAGGAAGGACTCTACTGGGGTGTCCTAGGACACCACCTACCTTGGGGAAATGTTCACTTCCAGGACCCAGGGCTTAAGGTTTTCGTCCAGCATGATGTCAAAACCGAACAGCTCATGGCAGCTGTAGGGGCACCGCACATACATCTTGAGCAGGTTGGTCACGTAGGGCTCTGACCTGGTCAAGGAACAAGGAAGCATTCAGCTCAGCTCTTCTCAGAGGGCCCTGCTGGGAGTGTCCAGCCAACAGAGAGGCTGGAGATGAGCCAGCAGAAGCAACCCAGGAAAGGCGGCTCTGAAGAGGAGCCTCTGACCTAGGCCAGCTCCTGGGGAGGAAGTTCAGTGAACAGGCAGAATTTACCTCCACCCATTCCTTCCTAGCCCCTGTTCTCAAAACTGAGTTGCAGTGTGGCCAAAGTCTGGAGTGCAGCTGTGCAAAGCCAATGTTGGGGGGGGTGGGAGGGGTGGCAGCGGCAGGCCCCACCCAGGCTGGCGCTGTGACTCACGAGATGATGGTTTTGACGACAGCATCCTTTATCTTCTCCCATATGGCATCACTGTTGACTCCCTTCTGGCTCAGGTAGCTCCACAAGGCCTTCAGTGCCCTGCAGGGGGAGCACGAAGGTGAATAGGGCTTATACTCAAGCAATGAGTAATGAAGCAGAAAGAAAAAGGAACAAGAGGCCTCAAAGGACTTTCTCTCTTCCTCTGACACCTTGCATTAACAGAGATGAACATGGAGGCACACGGCACAATCCTGAATTGACAAGTGTTTCTGCAATCTTCAGGTGTTATGTTAATCCTTCACCCACCAACCCCCAAACCTCCCCCAAATCCCAGGACCCTGCTGCACTCCTCCGAGCTTCACAGGGATCTCTGCCCTCATTACCATTTGTGCCCCTGGCAGGCCGTTTCATCGGCATTGGCCTGGTACTCAGCATTCTTCTTATTGACGCTGTAGTTCGTCAGGTGCATGAACTTGTTGCTAAGGCTCTTCATGGAAGGGGAATACCTAGAAGTGAGGAGGAGCAGACAGAGTTAAGGTGACGAGCTAGCACGTGGGGAATGGGCCGGTCTTCCCCCAAAGGCTCAGGCAGTACAGGACGAGTGCACAGAGCTCAGCTCCACAAAGGCCCGAGAAGGACGCCTGCGGGCAGGTTCAGGAAGGCCTCCGGCCCCTCCTCTCCACCACCTCCGTCCAGCTAAGCAAACTGGAAACCTCCTACCCCCCATTCCTCACCTTCCCCCTCACTACCTACAAAAACTGCCGTTACATTTCTGTCTGGTGTCCTCTCGCTGCCCTCCCAACCGTCAGGCGGCCCCGGCCCCACCGTCACATACTTGCAGCTGGCAAAGCGGACGAGTCCATCTGAAAAGAGGTAAACTCGAAGAGGGTAGTAGGAAGTGACGTAAACATAGATCCGCAGATCAAACTTGCTGCCGCTGATGAGGTAGGGCTTGTGCAGGTACCTACGGAGGGGAAAGGCCACTTCTCATCCAGCCAGATGAGATGGGGCCTGGAGGGGAACCAAGCCAGCAAACAGGTCCCGAGACAAAGACCTTACAACAGTCGGGGAAGGAAGGATTCTGGCTGCCATGACCAAGGGCAGGACATGGGGAGCAGGGAAGCTGGAGGCCACGCAGGTGCGAAGATGCAGGCAGGGCTGTGGGCTAGAGACAGGCTCACCTCTGCACCAGGAGGGGCCTTCGCTTGGGGAGCTGACTCCACTTGTGAATGACCTGGATGCCAATGCCACGAGCAGATGCTGGCTGCAAGTCAAGTGGGAAGGAGATGAGGTTTGCTTTCAGTCCAAAACTCCACTGTTCACCTCACCCCTTACTTACTGGCTTCACGATCCACTTCTGACGGCTGCTGCTCTCCCAGGCTTTGCGCAGGAGCTTGGCGTCCTGGGGCAGGATAAAGGACTGGGGGAAGAAGCTGAACTCCTTCTTGCCAAAACGGCTCTGCATTCGGGACAGATTCCGCCACAGCCGATCCTTCCTCCCAATCTGGAATGACCCTGGGAAGTGGTTCAGCTACAGAAAGGACGAAGTGTGAGGAGGGAGACAGCAGAGGTGAGACCACAAGGAGAATGACAAGGCTCACGATTCCATCCCAACTCCCTCAGCCTCACTGCAAGTTCCTGTCCCACCTCCTGTCACTATAGAGTGAGCCTTAAGTACCCAACTGCTAGCTGCTCACCAAAAGACGATTAAGACAATACTCTTGAAGAAAGACATCATGGGGCCGGCGCTGTGGCATAGCGGGTAAAGCCACCGCCTGCAGCGCTGCCATCCAGCTCTCTGCTATGGCCTAGGAAACCAGTAGAAGATGGCCCAAGTCCTTGGGCCCCTGCACCCATGTGGGAGACCCGGAAGAAGCATCGGCACAGCTCCAGCCATTGCCGCCAATTGCCAACTGAAGAGTGAACCAGCAGATGGAAGACCTCTCTCTCTCTCTCTCTGCCTCTCCTTCTCTGTGTAACCCTTTTTCTTTTTTCTTTTTTAAAGATTTATTTATTTACTTTAAAGTCAGAGCTATACAGAGAGAGAGAAGGAGAGGCAGAGAGAGAAGTCTTCCATCCACTGGTTCACTCCCCAGTTTTTGGCCGCAACAGCCAGAGCAGGGTCAATCCGAAGCAGGGAGCCAGGAGCTTCTTCCGGGTCTCCCATGCGGGTGCAGGGGCCCAAGGACCTGGGCCATCTTCTACTGCTTTCCCAGGCCACAGAAGAGAGCTGGATCAGAAGTGCAGCAGCCAGGACTCGAACCAGCACCCATATGGGACACTGGCACTTCAGGCAGCAGCTTTACCCACTATGTCACAGTGCAGGCTCCCTGACTTTCAAATAAATTAATTTAAAAAAAAAGACATAATAACCATCATAAGTACTGAGAAAAATTTTTGTATGTTTCCATGACAGTCTATGGGACAAGGACAGGAAAGAACTCGCTCTTTAGTTAAGTCTGAGAGTAAAGAACTCATTCAATCCAACCTGAGACTGTAAGTCTTTTATACATATCCAGCTTGGTGGGGGATGGAGGCGATGAGCAACGGCTATCGAGGAAACTTAATAAACTCAAGACGGTGCCTCCCAGGACACACTGAAGGAAAGTGTCTTTCAGAGGTGACGACTGCCCCAGACACGGCAGCTAGACTGAGGGTGTTCGTGAACCACTAGGATCTCACACTGCACTGCCCTCCTGGGTCTTCTCTAAAACCCTCCTGACCTCTGTGGTCATCCTCCTCTTGCCACACCGCCCCCACTCCCAACATCCCCCTCCTCCAGGCCTCATCTGTCCAAAGGCCACGGCATGGAAAGGGCCCCTACCTTCTGATGCTCTCGTATAGTTCGGAAGCTAGGAGACTTCATGTGGTGGCCCCAGCAGCCCAACCAGTCGTCATTCCCTACAGAAGACATCAAGGAGTCAGTCCTGCGGGCAGCTCAGGCCCTGGGACAGAGAGACCCAGAGGCCCCCAGAAACACCACTGAGCCTGGGTCCTGCTCCCAGACTGCATGTCGCAGAGTTGCCATGGAGCCGTCCTACATGAGGTCCTAGGGCCAGAGACAGAACAACGGCCCTCTGTTTTCCAATTTGGAACAACAGGCTTAGCCCGGGGGATGGGGTTCAGAGCCATGCGTGCCTATGAGTTTAGAAACTGCCAGACAGGGTCCTTGGCTGCCCTGACGTGACTGGAAGTACCCAGGGCACTCCTCCCACCTAAAGCCCATCAGCTGAGGCAGAGGACAGGTGCGCAGTCGGACGAGTGACTCACTCTTGCTGATTTTGAAATGGGACCGTCCAATGGTCTGCCTGACAATGTTGGGGGTCACTGTGCTCATCTTCCAGCGGAGCAGCTTCCTCTGCTCCCAGGGAAGTTTCTCCACTAGAGCGGAAGACAGGGGATGGGGAATGGAGAAGAGCAGGAGAGGCGTGGTGAGGAGAGGAGGGCGGCAGCACTGCTGCCCACCCCTCCCGGCCAGGCGAGCCGCTCAGCATTCCAAGATGAGGCTCTCAGAGGGGCACAACTTGGGGAAGAAAGGGGACTGTGCAGGGATAAACAAAGAAAAGGGCGGCTGAAAGCAGCAGCAAACAAGCTCGGAGGCTATGAACCGAGCGTGAGATGGTGCGGCTGACAAGGGTCAGCTACAAGACAGGCGAGAAAAAGGTCCCCACCAGCCTATAAGCCGGTGGGAACGGAGCACATTAAGGCCCACTCTGGAAACCCTCTCCCGCCCTGCTGCCACCTCCTCCCAACTTAGGACCCTTCTGCTGGGGGCGCTCTGGGCTTGCACACGTGGCCAGGTTTACCTCTCTCGTCCCGAGTGCCAAAATAGATGGTAGGGGGCCTGTTGGGGAAGAGACTGTAGATGAAGGCTGGTCGGACAACTTTCTCATGATTGGAGAGGGGTTTGGTCAGAGCCTCCAGGCAGCTCCTAAGATGGAAAACAAGCACGTGAGAGAGAAAGGGGAAGTACAGGCCTGAAGTGCTGTGACTATCATATATGTCATTTCATCCCAGGGCTGTCTTTGAAACAGTGCTTCCTACATGAGTGCTCAGTATTGGCTTCACCAGTAAGAATCCACAGCTGCTAGGGCTACCGACACAGAGTCTCTCCATTAAGTGTTACCAAGGGCAAGGTCTCCAAGACGCTCCAAGATCTCCTGTGACTAGCCAGGCTGGGGAGGCTCCTGAGGAAGGTGGTTCTTAGAGGGGGACGTGAGTCGGGTGGATACTAACAGAGTGTGCTACAAGACAATGAAATGAACAAGGAGAGGAAAAAGGATAATACAGATAACAAAAATAAGAAGGAACACCACGCAAGATCTGAGAAGAGGTAGAGACATTTAAAAAAAAAGAGAGAAGAAAACAGAAAAGAAACAGTGAAACTTCAAACTCATTTTATGTCTGGGTTTATGTGAAGACACATGGATGGTTCATCCTCTTCATTTGGAAAGAGATTTTTTTTTTTTTGACAGGCAGAGTGGACAGTGAGAGAGAGAGAGACAGAGAGAAAGGTCTTCCTTTGACGTTGGTTCACCCTCCAATGGCCGCCGCGGCCAGCGCGATGCGGCCGGCGCACCGCGCTGATCCGATGGCAGGAGCCAGGAGCCAGGTGCTTTTCCTGGTCTCCCATGGGGTGCAGGGCCCAAGCACCTGGGCCATCCTCCACTGCACTCCCTGGCCACAGCAGAGGGCTGGCCTGGAAGAGGCGCAACCGGGACAGAATCCGGCGCCCCGACCGGGACTAGAACCCGGTGTGCCGGCGCCGCTAGGCGGAGGATTAGCCTAGTGAGCCGCGGCGCCGGCCTGAAAGAGATTTTTGACACTGGATTTTTATGTAACAATATGATAGCAACACAGGTCTAGATCTAAAACTCTAGTCCTCATTGCCAAAAATTTTTCTTCAAAAGCTTTAATTTACTGAGCATCAGAGTTTAAGATCACTGGGGCCGCTGCTGTGGCACAGTGAGTTAAGCTGCTGCCTGTGACACGAGCATCCCATATGCGCGCTGGTTCAAGTAATGGCTGCTGCTCTTCTGATACAACTCCTTGCTGATGTGCCTGGGAAAGCAGCACAATTCTCCCACCCACATGAGACCCAGATGGAGTCCTGGTCTCCCGGCTTCAGCCTGGCTTAGCCCTAGCAGCTGTAACCATTCGGGGAGTGAGTCAGTAAATGAAAGATATATATCTCTCTATCCCTCTCTCTGTGTAACTCTTTCAAATAAATTAAATCTTGGGGAAAAAAAAAAGAGGGAGCCCAGCGCTGTGGCACAGCAGGTTAAGCCACCGCCCCAGCATCCCATATTGGAACCAGTTCAATTCCAGCTGCTCCACTTCTGATCCAGCTTCCTGCCAATGTACCTGGGAAAGCAGCAGAAAGATGGCCCAATTCCTGCACCCACGTGGGAGATCTGGAAGAAACTCCTGGCTCCTGGCTTCGGTCTGGCCTAGCTCAGACTGTTGCAGCCATTTGGGGAGTAAACCAGCAGATGAAAGCTCTCCCCCTCTCTGTCTCTCCCTCTCTTTATGTAACTCTGCCTTTCAAATAAAATAAATAAATCCTTAAAAAAGAAAAAAAAAAAAGAAAGGAATTTAAGATTACTGAAAATCAAAGTGAATGACTTAAAATTTAAGCATGGCACAGTGGTTAAGCTGCTGTTTAGGATGTCCACATCCCATACTGGAGTGCCTGGGTTCGAATCCCTCCTCTGCTTCTAACCCAGCTGCCTAGTGATGCATGCCTTGGGAGGCAGTAAGTGTTGCTCAGGTACTTGGGTCCCTCCTACCCACATGGGAGACCTGGATGGAGTTCTGGGGCCAGCCCTGGCTGTTGTGGGCATTTAGGGAGTGAACCAGTACATGGAAGATCTCTGCCTGTCTTTCTCTGCTCTTCAAATAAATAAATAAAACAAAGACAAGATAGAAATATCAAACTGTATAGCCACTCTGGAAAAGTTTTGGCAGTTTCTTAAAAAACTGAACTATCGCCAGAGCCGCGGCTCACTAGACTAATCCTCCGCCTAGAGGCGCCGGCACACCGGGTTCTAGTCCCGATCGGGGTGCCGGATTCTGTCCCGGTTGCCCCTCTTCCAGGCCAGCTCTCTGCTATGGCCAGGGAGTGCAGTGGAGGATGGCCCAGGTGCTTGGGCCCTGCACCCCATGGGAAACCAGGAGAAGCACCTGGCTCCTGCCATTGGATCAGCGCGGCTGCGGCGGCCATTGGAGGGTAAACCAATGGCAAAGGAAGACCTTTCTCTCTGTCTCTCTCTCTCTCACTGTCCACTCTGCCTGTCAAAAAAAAAAAAAAAAAACAAACAAACAAACAAACAACCTGAACTAGGCGCTGGGCCTAGTGGGCTAAGTCTTCCTAAGTCTTCCACCTGCAGTGCCAGCATCCCATGTGGGCGCCAGTTTGAGTCCTGGCTGCACCTCTTCCAATCCTGCTATGACCTGGAAGGGCAGTAGAGGATGGCCCAAGTGCATGGGCCCCTGCACCCACATGGGAAACCCGGAGGAAGCTTCTGGCTTCAGATCAGCCCAGCTCCGGCCATTGTGGCCATTTTGGGAGTGAACCAGCAGATGGGAGTCCTTTCTGTCTCTCCTTCTGTTTGTATCTCTACCTCTCAAATAAATTAATTAAATTAATCTTTATTTAAAAAAAGAATACTGAACATGTAACTACCACAAAACCAGAAATTGCACTTGGGGGTATGTATTCCAGGGAGATGAAGACTGAATCGCAGAAATGAAACTATGCATGTCGTTGCCTGTGGTAGCTTTATTCCTAAAATAACCCAAAGCAGGAAACAATCAAACAATGGAACATTTATCCCAGCAAAAGAAAGGAATTAGCTAAGGAGACACAAAACCACCTGGATCAATCACCAGAGAATATGCTGAATGAGGGAAAAAAGCCAACCACAGCAGGTTACATACTGTATCATTCCATGTGTAGAACATTCTCAAGAAGACAAAATTATAGGTTTGGAGAACAAACCTGTGGTGCTGGGATTAAGGAGGGGACGGGAATGGGAAGGTAGCAGGTGTGGCCGTGACGGTAACAGGACAGAGTCCTGCAGCAACAGGAAGGAACAACTGCACTGTTGCAAGATGTCATCTTTGGGAGGAAACAGGGCACACAGAACAGGGGGTCTCTGTATTATTTCTTGTAACTGCATGTGAATCTACGATTATCGTAAAATCAAAAGGTTAATTACGCTGTGGTGTAGTGGGTAAAGCCACTGCCTGCAGTGCCAGCATCCCACCATATGGGCACTAGTTCAAGTCCCGGCTGCTCTACTTCCTATCCAACTCTCTGCTGTGGCCTGGGAAAGCAGTAGAAGATGGCCCAAGTGCTTGGGCCCCTGCACCTGCGTGGGAGACTCAGAAGAAGCTCCTGGCTTCAGATCAGTGCCGCTCTGGCCATTGCGACCAATTAGGGGGTGAAACAGCAGATGGAAGACTCTCTCTCTCTCTCTCTGCCTCTCCTTCTCTCTATGTGTAACTCTGACTTTCAAATAATTAAGTAAATCTTTAAAAAGGAAAACATAAGAAAGAAAACCCTTGCTAGCTGCCTCAGAACACTGGCCTTACCCTCAAAAGATGCGGCATCTCTCTAGCTCTGCTATAAACTCTCACCTTGGAACACTTAACTTCTCTGGCCCTCAATTTTTACACTAGACTTGATGATTCCTATCTCTAATAAAGCTATGTGATTCTTTTGTTTTGTTTTGTTTTTTTGACAGAGTGGACAGTGAGAGAGAGAGACAGAGAGAAAGGTCTTCCTTTGCCATTGGTTCACCCTCCAATGGCCGCCGCGGCTGGCGCACTACGGCCGGCGCACCACGCTGATCCGATGGCAGGAGCCAGGTACTTCTCCTGGTCTCCCATAGGGTGCAGGGCCCAAGCACTTGGGCCATCCTCCACTGCACTCCCTGGCCACAGCAGAGAGCTGGACAGGAAGAGGGGCAACCGGGACAGAATCCGGCGCCCCGACCGGGACTAGAACCCGGTGTGCCGGCGCTGCAAGGCAGAGGATTAGCCCACTGAGCTGCGGCGCCGGCCAAAACTATGTGATTCTTAGAACAAGAACACAGCAGCAGGAAATGCAATACAACTATTGGTGGGTAAAGGAACAGAAGTAGTATTTTCAACAACCTTCCTGTTTTTTCTGTAGTTGCCAAATGTTCTACAATAAATATATAAAACTTTCATAATAGGGAAAAATTCAGTTTTATCTATCTGAAAGTATTTCCTCTGATTTTAGTCATTCTTAAAAATGCAAAGTAGTTTGGAATTCATCAACTTCTATTCTTGAAAACCATGTTTTAAGTCTCATCTAGAAAAGAAGGTGGGCACAATTTGCAGGATTTAGTGAGCAAATGATAAACACCTGTTGTAAATTTTATTTTATGTATCAGGAAGGCTAGGTAAAAGGCTTGTAGCCGTCCTGAAGCAGGCTTCAAGATAAACACAGGTCCCCCTTGAGTGTGGAAACTGTGGGACTTCAACTACGTGTGGAAGACCCCATCTGCACAACCACAAAGAGCTGTGCTGTTCTGACAGGGGGCAGGGGAAGAACTTAAAGTGGCAATTTATACACTGGACTCAGGGCACTTGTGACAAGATTCCCAAGCACTAATTCCATCAAGGCAAGTCCTAACCCTGCCTTTCCCACTTTCCAAACAGCTTTGTGTCCATCTGGTGGGATCAGGGCCCTGTACCCAATACAGCTACTGCCACACACTCATTCATGGAGACGCGCCTTGTCCCTGACACACTCATTCATGGAGATGTGCCTTGTCCCTGACACACTCATCATGGAGACGTGCCTTGTCCCTGAAACACTCATTCATGGAGACGTGCCTTGTCCCTGCTAACCACGGCATGGAAAGTCCCTCTGCCTCTTAGCTTCACCTGAGACAGGGCTACTGCAAAGAAAGGCAACCAGTCTGGGGACTCCTCATGCCAGGCAAGCTTTGACATATACCACGTGGATTGTCATTAAAATCTGGAACAGAAATTCCAGCTAAAAACACAAATTCTCTAAACTTTGTTTCTTTTATATTTTCAACAGAAATTACTTTTTAAAAGTAATTTTTAATTCTTACGACAGTGTGGAAGAATGCTAACGGTGGTTCCAACAATCCTTCAGCTAGTTCTAAAATTCTAGCACAACGACACACCCTTTTTATGGGAGTCTCTTCAGTCCTGCACCCCCGCCTCTCCCCCCACATCCCAGCTCAACAAGGCAGCACCCGCCAATTAACTGCCTGTTTCACAAAAGGGCCTACATTCTTTTAATTTTTTAAATTTTTATTATTATTTTTTTTTAATTTTTGACAGGCAGAGTGGACAGTGAGAGAGACAGAGAGAAAGGTCTTCAAGGGCCTACATTCTAAGACTGACTTTATTGGTGCTCTAGTTAAAGAGGAACATCACTCAGACTTCACCAGAAGCAGTCAATAAAATAATCCGGATGAAAGCTAGGGTATCGTAAGTGTGATTTCTTCTAAGATTACCGTCAGTCTTGTTTCCCAGAACAAAGCCAACCCCGACGGGAGCAAAAGGGCATTTCTGAGAACTCCAGCTCATGACAGCACTGATCCATCTCAGAGCCACTTCTGAGAATGGGACGAATTGTACCGCGTAAAGTCCACAATGACCCCATGCAGGCGCCTAACAAATGAAGAGTTCACCTCAGATACTGTGCTTCTGCATTAATCAGTTACTGATTTTCTGAACACCCCTTTTCCTTATTTGCCTTTTCCTTAAATAGTTCCTTGGAGCCTAAAGACCAAACTGCAGCCTAAGAAACAGTAGCATTTTTTAAGCCCAACTGATAAGAAGTGCTGCTATCTCCCACTGCTCCCTGCTCAAAACCTAAAGCTGCAAAAAAAAAAAAAATAATAATAAAAAATAAAAAAAAAATCTGGTGAAAATGAGTTAGGGTTCTGAGGGCCATTTATTGACTGCAGTAGTTAATCTCTCTACAATCTTCAAGAGACAGAAAATGAGCATGTGCCAATGACCAACACAGCCAACACTCACCGAGAGATCATTGCCACGGACTCGCCAGGGGAGATAGCACTTAATGAGGAGCACTCTGAGTCTCCTGGGGGGAGGAAGAGCAGAGAAGTTCGGACTGGAAGAGGCTGCCACACTTCACCAAGCTTTGGGCAGCCCTGCCTTGAACGTGCTGGGCGCAGGCCTTCCCGAGGAGCCGCGAGGACCGCCCTGCCGCCTTCCACTGCCTCCACTGCACTCAACGGCGGCAGGGCGCAAGCTAGCACAGCGGGACAGAGGACTAGAAACTGAAATCCCCTGGAAGCCACACCTCCCCAAGACCCCCAAAGCGCATGACTGATGTAGGTGACAATGTGGGTCTAGGACCTGGTATCCAACTGTTCGTCCCCTTCCCGAGCAGGTTCAGACCAACCCCCAGCGGGAGGTGAAAAGGTGTCCTACTCACCCTCCTCTTCTTCGTTCTCATCCTGGCTACAGGAGTCTTCCAAACCATCCAGTAGTTGTTCTTCTACATCTTCAGTTTCAAAGTGTTCTGACCGGAGGTCACTAGCTGAACTAAGAGAAAGAAATCATGCCCCCCACCCACCCAGACAACCCCATAAGGTCACAGTTGAGAGTCTCATTCCTCCACCATGACCTAGTATTTGCCTCTTCCCTGTCACCAATCTATTTTCTCGCCTGGACCTGCCAACCCATTTCTCTCACCTTCGAAGCTAAGTCTAGCCATGGGTCCTCAACCATGTATCCTCCATGACGTACTCAATTTCTTGGAAGTCCCTACGTGCTACAGAATTCTGCATGCAGACAGCCATCAAGGAATATCTGGTAATTGACTTCAAATGTCCCCAGGCTAACTCGGCAAGCTCAGAACAAGGCCTTGGTGGACCAAAGTCCCCAGAAAAGTGACCAGGCGTAAGAGAGGGAATCCACTACACCCCTCATTCTAAATGGCCATCACAGCTGGAAAGACCAGGAACCTGGTTTGGTTTGAAATTAGTAGGAGAGTCACAGGCAACAACATGTGATGTTCACAATTTCTCCTCTAGCTATAACCTAAAACAGGGGCCGGCAACTTCTCTCTGAGGGACTAGCTCGTAAGCATTTTCAGTTTTGCGGGCTATTCAGTCTGCCACAATTCCTCCACTCTACCACAGCAAATAAATGGGCAAGGCTGCTTTCCAATAAAACTTTACTCACAAAAGCAGACAAGCAGGATTTGGCCTATAAGCTAGTTTCCTGACCCCTGCCCTAACATGAAAGCCCAAAATTCCAGGTCAACTAGAAAAGTTAAAACCAACCCTCGGAGGGCATACATCCCACTGCTCTACATGAACCCAAACGTTCTCCAACTTACCCAGTGTCCCTGGCAGGGAAGTCCAGCTCCGTGGCACCCTCGGGCCCCTCCTCCTCAGTCTGGCCCAGATGGATGGAAGAGAGGCGGGAGGCCACACTGGCTATGCCGAGGGGCTGAGCGGGAGGAGAGGGAGCCAAAGATTTGTCTTCTCCCAGCAGCGGGAGGCCGCCTGCAGGTGTGCTGGCGGGGCTGTGGCTGAGCCCACTGGCATGTGAGGCAAGGAGGTGAATGCTGATACGTCTGGTACAGAAGATCGTGCTGTCCAGCCCCAAGGCGTCCGAGGTGCCCGGGGGGCCCCTACTGTCCGACGCAGTGTTCCCCTGGGGAAGGGGCTGGCCTGCCACAGGTTTCCACTGCCTGTGCCTGCCGAGGAGGCTCCACTGGAAGTGAGGGTTCACACAACAAGACTGTTCCAACTGGCAGCCTTGCTTCCGCATCCTCTCATAGCCTTTTGCAGTCAACCTCCTCACGGCCTCTGTGAACCGAACCTCTTTAGCCTGAGCCTGGGACTCAGCATTCTCCTCCAGGCCGCAGGCATGCGGCTCCGCCACTGTGGCTAAGTTACACTGGTTACACTGCGAACAGGCAACACTGGTGGAGGATGTGTTGAGGGACCTAGGAGTAGATGAGGCGACATGGGCAGTGGCATCATCCGGGACATTGCCAAAGCCCCTGGGCACCTGACGGTCAAGAGGTCGGGGCACACAGTCTCCAGTACCCCCCAGATGATGCCAGGAGACAGCCTGGATCTGAGGGGAGGATACTGGCTTCAGGCCCTCTGTGGCCTGTGCGAAAGGCACTCTAGTGCTATTTGGCCGCATGAAGGAATTGTTATTCAGCGTGGGTTTGAAGGAGGAGGAGAGCGCAGACGGGATCTTCCCTGAGATGGCACAGGCCAGGCTCTTCCTTGAAGGGTTTTCCCCAGCTGCCGCCACTGAAAGGTACAGATCTGCAGGCGAGGCCGCCACGGGCTGGGCCACGGGCTGGGCCATGGGCTGGGCCACAGGCGAGGCCGTGGAGGACGCGGCTTTGCTGGCAGTGAAACTGACAGGGACGCTCTTTCGAGGGAGAGGAAAAGGTGTTTTTTCTGATGAGTTGGAACGCAAGCAGAAAGACTCCGGCTGCTGGGATGGTTTGTGCCAGGCGTCAGAGCGGCGACACAGCAGGGTGCTGCTGAACAGGTACGGCAGAGAGTGCAGGCAACAGGAGCTGCTGTGGCCCGCGAGGACGCCTGCGGTCCCAGAGCTGCATAGAGAACCGGGGCAGAAGAAATAGGCGGGCTGGCCTTGGAGCTCCAGGAGGGCTGGGGCCAGGCCTGCCGACACCGTCCCCGCGGGACTCTCCAGCTTCCAGACGGGCTTCCCCCGCTGATGGGCCCGAGGCCGGGCCTTGCCCTCAGAGAGGTTCCTCAGGCGGCGGGGCAGGCACTGCGGCTGAGGGCCCAGGCTGCTGGAGGCTGCTTCCCTGGCGGAGGCCGACACTGTGGCGCCCTGTTCATGCTGAGGCCACGAGAGGCCCACATCATGGCCACATGGCCTCATGGCCTGGCTCGGGGAAGACGCCACACACCTCGAGTAGTACCAGCTGCATCCTGGAAGTCCGTCAGCCTGCAGGGGAGAGAGATGATTGGGTGGGGCGCCGCCCACAGGGGCCCTCAGGAAAGTAACAGAGTCCCATGGCAGCACTGCCGGGGCCGGGCCAGCTTGTCACCACTGGAGACCCGAGGACAGCGCACGACCTCCAGGGAATTTTTACACGAGCAAGGCCGGCCTTACTGAAGCGCCACCACTTGAGGCTGCTCACATGTCCCCACACTCACTTGGAAAACTTTCTTTAGTCTCCAAAGAAAGTCCATTTCCTGCCTCCCCATCCACAACTAACTCCACAGAAGTGGCTGCCTTCCTCCCCTTAAACCAGTGGGGCCAGGAGGAAGGCAAGCCTCCCGAGGCAGAGAAACCTGCCACCGTCTTGCTCCTCACCTGCCCACTCTGAAAGCTCAAAGCTTCTCTTCCATCCATTGCTCCCTCAACCAACCCTCAGCCACCCCGTCTTGATCTGCATTTCAAGGTTAAGCGTGACAAGTTCAGCCAGGAGCAGAGAACTCCCCTGCTGACCCTGGAGTTTAGCCTAGAAGGGAGACAGCAATTCATCTCTTGAAGAATCTTACCAAGTCTAAGGCCGATCCCACCCCATGCGTGGAAGGGAAAGAGAGGAAGATGGCCCTGCGCCAGCCCTGTTTTCATTCGGAGTGACTTCACTTCATGCTGCCACGCGGGCCAGCAGGGTTCAGAACAGAATACAGAGGCAAGGAGAAAAAGTTTCTTCACTCTCCAAGCCCAGGTTTCAGCTGAGGCTGATCTCAGGGAGGGAGAGCCTGTCTCACAAGCCTTCTCGTTTCCCTAAAGCAAAACCTCTCGCCTGGGTTCTGGGTCTCAAACAGTCTGTTCACAAAACAAGTGCGTGCGTGCGTGCGTGCGTGCGTGTGTGTGTGTGGTGGGACAGGGGGTAGGGGGAGCCTGCTGTCACAGCTGTAAGAAGTCACTCTGAATGGACTTCCTGGCATCCTTGAAGGGTTTTCAGAGTAGCTGGAGGAAAGGATTAGCAAAATGCTTTCTTACTCAGGTTACATTTAAAATACAACAATAAGGAGAGCAGCTTGTGTTTTGGTAACAGTAAAGGTCAAGGAAGACCAGGATTCCTGTCACAGTGACGAGTAGACGGCACCAACAAAGAGCCTACAGAAGCAACAGGAGGTTGTCCTCTTCCTGCATTGCGTGCTCCCCACGGAGGGAAGGAATAATCGCAACGCACCACTGCTATGTTGTCGTCTGCTACCCACACAGTGGGCTAGAGAGGCGACAGTGGACCATCACTGTGGAAATGTGGAAATACAGTGTCTGACACACAGTGGGTACTCAACAACCCTTCTGAATAAACACACTGGAGAAGCACAGTCGATGAAGAGAAACAAATGCTGGTCGGGCAGGTACCGACCGTCAGGCACCGTCCTGGGCATCTGGCTTGCATTATCTCATTTAATCCTAACAAAAACCTCACATTCAGTTCACTGATGAATTTAAGTCTCGGGTAAGGTGAGTGACCTTTCTATAATTAAACAACTGGCAAACAGAGGTGCCTGGATTAAAATTCAATTTTGTGTGCTCCGAGGAATGAAACACTCCTTCAGTCTCTGTCTCCTCCAGTATCACGCATCTTCAGGCACAAAACAAAGGCAGGCAGGAAATCCTCTCTCAGCGGCTGTCCCAAGCCCCTCTGAGCAGAGCGCCTAGGAGCATGGGACCACCGTCTCACACAGCGCCTCGGGGCTGGGACAAGGGCCCCACCTGTGGTGCACCGCATCACCCCGGATGAACCCTCAGGGCCAGGAACCTCAACCACAAGCGCTCCAGACCCAACTGCCCTGACTTCAACTCCCCAGAGGACAGAGGCTGTGGGTGGCCTGCTTCAGCAGAGGGGGAAGCCAGCCAGCTGGGCAGGGGCCACAGGAAAGTGGATCCCAGCTCTCACGTCTCTGCGGTGGTCACTTTGCACCCGTTTCCTCTCACGGTCCTCACGATGGACAAGATGGCAGCTTGGAGAAGGGCCACCTGTCTCCCTGAACAAATAGTCGGGATGCAAGGGCCAAGCAGGTGAGAGGACGTTTCCATAGTTCTCTTCCTGGGGAGTTAGTAAAAGATAACCCACTAGGGCTGTGTCAGGAACTGCCAAGCAAAGACAACTTGGTCACGTCGGACATCCCACAAGGAGCAGCTTCAAGAACATGAAGGGGGGCAGCACTGCAGCCTAACAGTTTAAGCTGCCACCTGTAATGCAAGCACCCCTTTTTGGGTGCTAGTTCAAGTCCTAGCTCTTCCACTTCTGATCCAGCCCCCTACTAATGTGCCTGGGAAAGCAGCAGAGGATGGCCCAAGCCCTTGGGTGCCTGCACCCATGTGGGAGACCTGGACGAAACTACTGGCTCCTGGCTTCGCCCTGGCACATCCCTGGTCATTGCAGCCATTTAGGGAATGAACTAGCAGATGGAAGATCTCTCTCTCTCTCTCTCTCTCTACTTCTGTCTTTCAAATAAATTAAATACATCTTAAAAAAAAAAAAAAAAATGAAGAAATAGTACCACTTCCTAACAGTATCACATACAAATGCCCAGCCTGGGTGTCGTGTGTTGGGCTTAGAAGTAGTGGCTGGGTTAGGCAGGACTAACAGCAGCTTCCTCTTTTCTCCTTATACAGATTCCTAATGACATCAAAATTCCTCGTGTTGGGGAAGCAGAGACCCAGCTAGAACCTTTGGGCAGCCTGTGTGCCAGGCCCTCTGCTTTCACAGGTCGCCTTTTCCTCTATGCTGCCAACTGCCCTACACATTTAACAAACTTCTAGAAGATCCAAAAATCTAAGAAGTAGAAAAAGTGAGAAAATAGTTCCAAAAGTTGACACTGAGAAGAACTGCAAAAGAAAGTCAAAATCCACAGAGGCAAATAACCTCTGGTAGCCAGAGCCCACGGGAAGCACCTGCTTGGAAGGCAGCTTTGGCAAGGTCAGACCCTCCCTTGGGGGTGGGCACTGAGGCACCAGAGTCCCTGGTTTGAGTCTCGGCTACTCTGCTTCTGATCCTGATGCAGATGTGCCTGAGACACAGCAGATGATGGCCCACGTACTTGGGTTCCTGTCACCAACATGGGAAACCCAGATTGAGCTCCTGGCTCTTGGCTTCAGCCTGACCCAGCTCCAGCTGTGTGGCCATTTGGGGAGTGAAACAGTAGATGGAAGATCTCTGTCTCTGTTTCTTCTGTCTCTGTCACTCTACCTTTCAAATAAATAAATGTATCTAAAAAAATCAAAAAAAGAAAACAAATCTTCCTTTCAGTATAATCTGGGCTCCTAACGCAAAGTCTGGAAGACCATTCTCTAAACCTCCTTTAAATTTTTAAGTGTTAGGGGCCAGCACTATGAGGTAGTAGGTTAAGCCTCCATCTAAAGTGCCGGCATCCCATATGGGCACTGTTCACAGTGCTGGTTCATATCCTGGCTGCTCCACTTCCAATCCAGCTCCCTGCTAATGGGCCTGAGAAAGTATTGGAAGATGGCCCAAGTGCTTGGGCCCCTGCATCCGTGTGGGAGACCCAAAAGAAGCTCATGGCTCCTGGCTTCGGACCAGCCCAGCTTTAGCCATTACAGCCATTTGGGGATTGAACCAGCAGATGAAAGACCTCTCTGTCTCTAACTCTTCCTCACAATAAAATAAATAAATTTCTTCTTAATTTTTTTTTTTTTTTTTTGACAGGCAGAGTGGACAGTGAGAGAGGGAGACAGAGAGAAAGGTCTTCCTTTGCCGTTGGTTCACCCTCCAATGGCCACCGCAGCGGGCGCACCGCGCTGATCCGATGGCAGGAGCCAGGTGCTTCTCCTGGTCTCCCATGCGGGTGCAGGGCCCAAGTACTTGGGCATCCTCCACAGCACTCCCTGGCCACAGCAGAGAGCTGGCCTGGAAGAGGGGCAACCGGGACAGAATCCGGCGCCCTGACCGGGACTAGAATCCACTGTGCCAGCACCACAAGGTGGAGGATTAGCCTATTGAGCCGCGGCGCCAGCCAATAAATGAATTTCTAAGTGCACTTTGATGGTGCACACTGGTGTGTTTGTGTGTGTGTATATGCACAAAACTTTAGGATCCAAGAGACAGGTTGCCCATCTCCCAGGAAATAATGCAGAATGAGGCATGGAAGAAAAGAGAACAGAGAGAAAAGTATTTATATACATAGAAGGCCATGCACAGGCCACTAATGGAAGCCTTGCTTCAAAAATATCCAACTGAAACAAAGCTAAACTCACTGGTGACTATGTTAATTGCAAAGAATTCCCTACAAGTTCCATCATTTTTATTCGGTTTACATACAGTTTCTAGACACATCACATAAAAACAGGCAAAGGTATTCATACTTACTCTCTTTGACTAAGGTCAAAGGATCCACCATCAGCTGACCCTCCACTCAGCAGCCCGCAGGAACTTATCTTAGGAGCCAATAAGCTGGCCTTACCTGGAAAACAAGATTTTCAACAATCTAACACTTACAGAGTCAAATCTAAAGTGTTCAAATCTAATGAGGTCCTAGAGGTACAAACAGGAAACTACAGCCTGCTGAGTTCGAATTTAGGGGAAAACAAGTGTGGGGGCCAGTGTTGCAGTGCAGCAGGTCGAGCTGCCTGCGACGCCAGCAGCCCCTATCAGAGCGCGTTAGAGCCCCAGCTGCTCTGCCTTCGATCCGGCTCCTGCTACTGCATCTGGGAAAGCAGCAAACTGTCACCACGTGGAAAGATGCAGATGGAGAGATGGAGTTCCAGCTCCACTGGAGCCATCTGGGGAGTGAACTAGTGGGTGGAAGACTGATCTTTCTCTCTCTCTCTCTCTCTACCTGCCACTCTGCCTTTCAAATAAATCTTTAAAAAGGGAAGAAAAGAAGCCTGTTTTAGTGGTTAAACTCTTCAACCTGGGTCCAACAGGAAACTGCTCAGTTGAAAAGCAAGTAAATGTTAGTTGACAGCAGAATTGCTGAGCAGAGTAATGCCGGCAACACAGATGGAGTCAGTCTACCAGGCCACAGCGCCAGCCCACCCCCGTATTCTTATTGGCACCAGAAGATCTCTCTTCTCCCCTCAGCCCTTTCACAGCTGCAAGGAAAGGGGAAAGGCACGGAGCAGGCAATAACTGTTATACCACAAAATACCAGCTATGACAAGCAATGTTCTGTTTTTTTGTTGTTGTTGTTTTTTTTTTTTTGACAGGCAGAGTGGACAGTGAGAGAGACAGAAAGGTCTTCCTTTGCCGTTGGTTCACCCTCCAGTGGCCGCCGCGGCCGGTGCACCACGCTGATCCAAAGCCAGGAGCCAGGTGCTTTTCCTGGTCTCCCATGCGGGTGCAGGGCCCAAGTACTTGGGCCATCCTCCACTGCACTCCTGGGCCACAGCAGAGAGCTGGACTGGAAGAGGGACAACCGGGAAAGAATCCGGCGCCCCGACTGGGACTAGAACCCGGCGTGCCGGCGCCGCAAGGTGGAGGATTAGCCTAGTGAGCTGCGGCGCCGGCCAGCAATGTTCTGTTACAAAAGCCATTAATGGGCTGGCCCTGGGGCGTAGTAGGTTAAGCTTCTGCCTGCGGTGCCGGCATCCCATATGGGCACCATTTCAGGGCGTCCAGTTTGTATCCTGGCTGCTCCACTTCCAATCTAGCTCCCTACTAATGGCCTGGGAAAGCAGCAGAAGATGGCCCAAGTGCTTGGGCTCCTGAACCCACATGGGAGACCTGGAAGAAGTTCCTGGCTCTGGCCTGGCCCCACTGTGGCTGTTGCCCCCATTTGGGGAGTGAACCAGTGGATGATGGATCTCTCTCTGTGTCTTCTTCTATCTGTGTCTCTGCCTCTCAAATAAATAAGTAAATCTTAAAAAAAAAAAAAAAAAAAAAAAAAGCCAGAACTATCTTGTTACTTGGGCTTTAGGAAGACTTCTTATATTACCAGTAACTACAGTTTCGGGTACAGGTGTCACCTGGCACTAATAGGCAACTGGAAAGGACTTTGAGACACACCTGGAGAAGGTCCATGGGAACAAAAACCTGTTTCCTTCTAGTTACTTATTTGAAAAAAAGGAATGGAGCGGGGGTAGAGATCTTCCAAGCATTGGTTCACTCCCCAAATGGCCACAGCAGCCAGGTCTGAGCTGGGCCGAAACCATGAACAAGAACTCCTCTGGTCTCCCGTGTGGGTGGCAGGAACCCAAGTATTTGGGCCAGCTCCACTTCCTTCCCAGGTGCACTAGGAGGAAGCTAGATCAGAGGCAGAGCAGCTGGGACTCAAACTGCACTCAACCGCATGTCAGCATTGCAGGCCGCCGCTTAACCCTCTGCGCCACGATGCCAGCCCAGTGCTTCAGATTTCTGAAAACATTGGGTAAAGAGTTTAAAAAGGGACTGTTTTTCATCAGGGCCCAGCCCCTGTTACCTAAATACTATCTATTAATAAAAGGAGCCAGGGCGCTTTGAAAAATGGCTGATTACAGGGCTGAGGCAGGGACAGAGAGATGGGCCCGGGATCCTTGTGCTCTCGAGTAAGGAAGTGCTCCAAACTCCACCGGGACCCATTAAAAGCTCACCGAGACAGCGAGCATCACGCTTAGAACTGCAGCACTAGGCATTTTCCCCGAGACGCGGGAAAAGGCAAGGATGTCTACTCTCCCCATTTCTACTCAGCCCTGCATTAGAAATTCTAATCAGTATAACAAGAAAGAAAAAAACAAATCAAAGACATATAGAACGGAATGAGTTAAACTATTTATTTCCAAGAAGAAATTGGAACTTTTATGCATTGCTAGTGGGAAAGCAAAATAGTTTTTTAAAATATCTGAAAAATAGTTTGGCAGTTCTTACAAAGTTAACATGTAACAATCCCCGCAATCCCATTCCAACATTCACACAAAGATTTACACATGGATGTTTACAGCAGTATCTTTCCTAACAGCCCCAAGCTCGAAACAATCCAAATGTCCATCAAACAGGAAAGGAATAAACAGAACAGATCTACCCATATCATGAAAACTGAAGGAATAAGCTGCTGGTAGGACACAGACTAATCTCAAAAACACCCTGCTAAGTCACAGAAGCCAGACAGCGGCCGCCGGCACTTTGGCGCAGTAAGTTAATCCTCCGCCTGCAGTGCTGGCATCCCATATGGGCACCCAGTCTAGTCCCGGCTGCTCCTCTTCCCATCCAGCTCTCTGCCATCGCCTGGGAAAGCAGTGAAACACGTTCAAGGCCTTGGGCCCCTGCACCTGCCTGGGAGACCCAGAAGAAGCTCCTGGCTCAGTTTGGCGCAGCTCCAGCCATTGCGGCCATCTGAGGAGTGAACCAGTGGATGGAAGACCTTTCTCTCTGTCTCTCCCTTTCACTGTCTGTAACTACCTCTCAAATAAATAAATATAATCTTAAAAAAAAAAAAAAAAAGAGAGAGAGAGAGAAGCCAGACACAAAGACCATGTATCATATGATTCCATTTTCATAAAACTTTCAGGAAAGACAAAATCATAAAAACAAAGCTAATCAGTGGTTACTTGGGGCAGAGGGTGATGGCAAATGGGCACAACTGGATTTTTTTGGAGTAATAAAAGCGTCCTAAAACCAGATTGAGGCAATGGTTGTACAAATAGAAAAATCTACTTGAAGCCACTGAACAATGTTTTTATAGTTGATGAAGCAAATGTATGTTCTGTATATAGTACCTCCATAAAGCTAGTAAAAGTGAAAAGGAGGGGCCGGGGCTTTGGCAAAGTGGATAAAGCCACTGCCTGCAGTGCCAGCATCCCATGTGGGCACAGTTCAAGTGCTGGCTGCTCCACTTCCGATCCAGCTCTCAGCTTATGGCCTGGGAAAGCAGAAGATGGCTCAAGTCCTTGGGTCCCTGCACCCATGTGGGAGACCTGGAAGAGGCTCCTGGTTCCTGACTTTGGATCAGCCCAGCTCCAGCAACTGCAGCCATTGGGGAATGAATCAATGGATGGATGACCCCTCTCTCTCTCTCTCTCTCTGCCTCTGCCTCTCTGTAACTCTTACTTCTTTTTTTTTTTTTTTTTTTTTTTAACTTATTTGACAGGTAGAGTTAGACAGTGAGACAGAGACAGAGAGAAAGGTCTTCCTTTTCCGTTGGTTCACCCCCCAAATGGCTGCTACAGCTGGCGCTGCGCTGATCCGAAGCCAGGAGCCAGGTGCTTCCTCCTGGTCTCCCACGTGGGTGCAGGTGCCCAAGCACTTGGGCCATCCTCCACTGCCTTCCCGGGCCACAGCAGAGAGTTGGACTAGAAGAGGAGCAACCGGGACAGAATCCGGCACCCCAATCAAGACTAGAACCCGGGGTGCTGGCACCGCAGGCGGAGGATTAGCCAGGTGAGCCGCGGCGCCGGCCCGCAATTTAAATTTTTAAAAAAAATTTTAAAGTCATTAGTACTGAAAGAGAAATTTAATTTGGTTTTCCTCAGACTAGAAGTTAGGAAATATACAATCAACTTCAACTTTTCCTTGAAATTATACTGGCAGAAATGGATTTTGCCACTTAACAACTTAAAAAAAAAAAAAAAAAGCAATGCACTTACTGCTTGCTCCATCATCTAAATCAGGCTTAACTGGGGAATCCACCTGTCACCCCCAACATACAAGATCTGAAGTCACATGACTTAGGAACAACCTCACCATCACACAAGTCTTTTTAAAGGTGGCCACCGTGGGGCTGGAGCTGTGGCACAGCGGATTAAGCCTCTGCCTGTGGCAGAGTGGGTGCCAGTTCGTGTCCCAGCTGCTCCTCTTCCAATCCAGCTCTCTGCTGTGGCCTGGGAGGGCAGTGGGGGATGGCCCAAGTGCTTAGGCACCTGCACCCACGTGGGAGACCTGGGGAAGGCTCCTGATCAGCGCAGCTCTGGCCGTTGTGGCCATCTGGAGAGTGAACCAGTGGATGGAAGACCTCTTTCTTCCTCTGTCTGTAATTCTGCCTCTCAAATAAATTAATTAAAAAAAAAAAAAAAGCGGCCACTTTAAAATGCACTAGTCGTCCAGCACACACCACTCGAGTCTGCTTGTGAATTCGCAGACTCTGACTCAAAGGAGTTCCAGGGAGAACCCTGAGCCTGGCACAGGAAGTTTAATAACAGCACTTTCTCTGAAGTCCATCAACACACAATAAAGGGGTTTGGAAGAGGGGTGGGTCTCAAACATTTAAAGGAAAAACTGTTTAATACTGCTGCTTTGGTAAAACCTCAACAACAAACCACACAAGCCCTTGTCTTGCCCTCAACTGAGAAAGCAGCTGCTGTCAGCACCAGCTGAGAAATGGGCACCTAGAGGCCGAGACCAGGACTCTCGGGTTAGAGTCAAGGAAACAAGGGGGCAGGGTTTTCACAACCACTGTGTTTTCAAGGAGGGGGCAGGCTGCCTTTCATCTCCTTGAAACTTGACGGGAATGTCAGACTTCCTTGAAGTCAAGCCAGGGCAGTTGGAGGGCGA